ACTGTCTCTGTCATAAAATTTTGTTCATATTCCAATTGACGTTTCAAGTGCACTTGAATAATATGGCTGTTATCAAATCTTCGTGGAAGCATGGTGACTGTCTCTACAACTGAAATGGGGATATTCACCACTGCTCCACGAATAGCACATTGTCGTTCATATCCTAAGGAGATGATGCGCATAAATGGGATCCTCGGTGATATCAGTCTTTCTTCTAGACACGTTAAATCCTGAAGGTATTCCGGAATATCAGGAAACTCCAATCCTTCCGATAGGCAGATATTTGGTATCTTGCCCTTCCTAACAATACGATAGCATGTGTTGCAAAAGTTGTACTTTTGGTTCGAAGACGGAAATTTTGATGACAGATCACTTTTCTAGCATCTTCTGAGCGCGCAAATTTTGTTGAAGTCTGACATTTTTCTAGTTTTTTCACTTGATGAGGGAACCAAGTGCCACCGCAGCAGACGCATATTTCAGTGGGTCCTTTCTTTATCAACAATGCGTACACATCAAAGATATTGGCAGCTCGACGTTGACGTTCTTGTTCTTCTAGCTGTGCGTCAGGAGAAAGTTCACGACGTCTTCTTATATTCCTCCTGGTTTGCCTCTCGCTTTCTAACTGACGATTTGCCGATCCGATCTATGCAATTGTACTCTTTCCAACGTTGATTCCTGCTCGTTTGCTAGTTGTTGCCTGGTTTGCTGGCGGATCACTCTTCTTTGAGAAGAATTTAAAATTTGCTCACGACGTCTTCTTATTGGATCTTCTCGACGACTTCTCCTCAATGCTGCATCTCGTTGCCTCTCTTCTTCTCTTATTATTGCATTCTGGCGCCGTACAGAACGTTCCATTGTGTCGCGCTCCTGCTCCGCTACTCTATACTCCGGATCTAAGCGCCTGTTTGAATGACCCATTGTGTTGCGCTCCTGCTCCGCTGCTCTATATTCCGGATTGGTTCTCCTATTTAAATGTTCCGCGGTGTTGCGTTCCTGCTCCGCTACTCTATATTCTGGATTCAAACGTCTATTTGAATGACCATACAGTAGGTACGCTGCTGCTCTTCAGTTCTATATTTCAGATCCAAGCGCCTGATAGAATGTCCTATTGTGTCGCGCTCCTGCTCCGCTGCTCTATATTCGGGATTCAAACGTCTATTTGAATGACCTTCTGTATTACGCTGCTGCTCTTCAGTTCTATATTACGGATCCAAGCGCCTGATCGAATGTCCTATTGTGTCGCACTCCTGCTCCGCTGCTCCATATTCGGGATTCAAACGTCTATTTGAATGACCTACTGTTTTACGCTGCTGCTCTGTTGCTCTGTGAAGTAGGTTCTGTCGTCTGTGGAACGTGCAGAACTATCACGAGTTCTCTCCTCATTGCGGTACTCCAAATTTGAGCTGCGTAATTCTGCAATATAGTCAGCGTTCTTTTGTCTATTATTTTCCAAATTTTGACTATATTGTCGTCGGCTTCGATTCAGAGCATTGCGACGTCTTTGTTCCTGCGATTGCCTAGATACTCTTGGCATTTTCAAAAATTATTAAAAAATATTATACAAATAAAAAATATACTAAAATATTAATAAATTAAGTAATATTAATATAATTAAAAGTATGCGTATTATTTAAAAAAGGATTTTCTCGTTGATTTTGAGACTTATTTCGTTGTTGAAAGTTTAACTGCTCGCGTAAACTGAAGTGATCCGATGCGTTGGGTCCTATTTATTGAATGTTTTAGAGCCCGACTTCACATCTGTAAACTCTTTTGCCCTTCTTGGTATCATCAAGCAACTTTCGTCGGAATACTAATGTGTTAATTACAGAAAGTGCATTGTAGAGGTTCTTTTTTACCTAGGTTATACTTTCTACCTAAATTGCAAACTATGTTTACTTCCTACCTACTCTTCTACCTAGGTTTTGTTTTGTACCTACCCATCAGTTAATTAGGGTTTTAAAACTGAATAATTATCTTTAGATAGTTCTCTTATATTATTATTTATTAATAATATATCTTGAATAATTAGGGATTTATTTATTTTATGGGTAATTAAATAATATTTTTGCTCCTTACTCTTATGTATATATTCTTAACATAATTTTCTACTTTACAAATTTATTTAGATCGATCAGTTTGTACGGCAACTATGTGATACAGTAGTCAGATCTGGAAAATTTCTTAGCATATTTTATTGTTACCGTGGCCAATAATCCATGCCAAATCTGATCAAGTAATTTTAGTTGAAATATTAAGGCGTTAACTACAAAAGGGGCATTATCGAGGTTTTTTTTACCTAGGTTATGTTTTCTACCTACGTCTCGAACTATTTGTTTCCTACCTATTTTTCTACCTAGATTTGGTTTGTACCTACCCATCAGTTAATTAGGGTTTTAAAACTGAATAATTATCTTTACAAAGGTAGTTCTCTACTATTATTGATAAATAATAATATATCTTGAATAATTAGGGATTTGTTTATTTTATGGTTAATTAAATAATATTTTTGCTCCTTACTCTTATGTATATATTCTTAACATAATTTTCAACTTATTGTCCCAATTAGC